GGGGGTGATTTCTCGCTTTCTGTCTCTATGTCTCTCTCTGTCTGTCTGGCGAGTGCACACACCCTATAGCAAAAACCTCTCAAAAAAAAAAAAAGAAAAGAAAAGAAAAGAAAAAAGTAGTTACCTATTAGGTTTTCTTAAAAAAGAATTATTTTATTTAATTTTATTCATCATTGTTATTTATTTTAATTTGAGCAGAGAGTGACACAGAAAGGGGAGTCGGGGGGAGTGAGAAAGCAAGCTGTCAGGTCTGGGACTCAAACCATAGTCAGCCATGTGAGAGTCCAGCATCCCAACCACTACACCATCTGCCGGCCTTCCCATCAGTTTTGAAAAGAAAAAGCAGGCTTACCTGTCCTACTGGAAGAAATTTATTCCCACTGATTATATTTCCCTACCCTGTGCAGCTTGCTTTCAAAACTCAACACACCACAGAGGGCAGATGGTAAATGCAGTTTCAGTGGACTCCAAATGAAGGAGCCCATGTTGAAATCTGATTAGTTGATTAATGGATACAAATGGTTGTAGAATCTTGGGGACCCTATGAGCTTTAGTTATCATTATTTCTCTTTATTTTACAGAAATTCTCTACCACTGTATTAATCATACGTAAAAATTATTCAGCAACCTAATGATTATATTTCAAGAATTTTTGATAGAAGCATTGGTTGTTGGTAGGAGATTTCTTCCAGGCCCTGACACAATGGCACAGGTTAGGGTGTCACTGAGTGATGCTGGAACCACAGCGAAGGTCCTGGGTTTTGATCCTGGGATTCACTTGAACACCTCAAACATGCGCATTATCTTTGCTGGTTGTAAGGGAGAAATTATGATGTGGTGAGACATTGTCAAGGTTACCCCCCACCAAGAAATGAATAAATAAGCTTTAAAAAGTAAAAGAAATTTCTTCTAGGTATCTGTGAATCTTAGAAGGAGATAGGGTAGAATTCCTCAAAAATTACTTAAAGAGGGGGGTAGCAGGTTGGTTAGAGGTTAAGGCACTGGACTCCCACATGGCTGACTGTGGTTCGAATCCCACACCTGGTGGATTGAAAAGCAGGGCAGGCATGTGTGTGCTCACTCATGTCCAAAATCTCAGGAGGAGAATGGAGGAGAAGGGATAATGGTGTGACCATCCCCCTGGGGAGTGATTTCTTATTTTTTCTCTCACTGTCTCCAAGGACCACATGGGCCCTATGGCAAAAACCTTAAAATATATATATAATTACTTACAGATAACATAAAGACAGGTAAAGTGGCTTCAGATTTATAACAAAACTGCTATTCCTACCTCCTATCCAACTATAAATCCTTACTTGAAGCTTCTTTTATTTTATGTGTGTGTATATAATTTTTGTGTCTCTCTAAGGAAAAAAAATCATTATCTGAATAATAAAATTAATGATGAATTAGCTTAACGAGAGGCTGTTTTAAAATCATAAGGGAGAAATTTTAGTAGGTACTTTTTATGTGATTTTTATGCGAAGATCAAGTGTGTCTTTTTGGGCAAATGTGTTTTCTCTGGACTCGAGGTGAGTGTCTGCCCATGACTCCCGTTTCTGCTCTTCCACACCTCCTTCTGTCAGGTTAATGGATATGTTTGAACAAGAGTCTTCAAGCAAACCATATGTTCTGTTCTCAGAGCCAGGAGACAAGATACTAGAGACTTGAGTCTGCCAAGAAAGGGAAGGTCAGGAAAAATTAGAAAGAAACAACAGCCAAACTCCAAATGGCTTAGTTTAGTTTGACTCACACCCAGATACTTTAACCCCTCTGTGAAAATGCTGTTGAATCAGAATATTAAAGAATTCTAGTTCCACCTGCAAACCCGTGAAAAAAATACTGACAGTTAAAATAGGAAGGGTAAAATCTGCCATCCATTCTGTTGTCTTATCATTCATTAGTTACTATATCTTCTCTTTGCTTTTTGTGTTATAATCCTGCCGAGATTTGCTATCAAGTCTCATTACTAGAACTTTCCCTTGGAAAGTAACACAAAACATTAAGGAGATGTTTGGTTCTATTTCTGATAGGTGAAGGTAAATTTTGTTTAGAAACTTTTGTTGATTCATTGCAAAGTTCTGGGCATATCTACTGACAGAAATCAAGGTTCCAGATGCTTTGTGTATGGTTTGTCTCCATTCGTGGTGCTCGTGTGTTAGTAAGTTTATGTAGATATACACTTAAGAGCACTTACACACACAGTCCTTGACACAGCCACAGAAATCCAACAGAAGACTAGCTAGATGCCCTCTCATTCTGTTCTTCTGAGTACATTGAGGATTTTCATTAGAACCAGGAATATTTAAATATGAATGCTATAATCCGAGAACATCTGCCATAGGAGTGTTAGATAAATTGAATAGATGAATCACATTGCAAAATAACCTTTTTCTCCAATCACATATGTATAAATGACCTCATGACTAATGTGCTTCTGAGGGCACAGCCACATCAATGGAGACACAATTTCAGTTTGAAACCAGCTGGATCTTGTGCCAGATATATGCATGTGGAGATGTGGGCCTTGGAGACTAGGGTGTGAACTGGTCCCTAAACACCACAGCTGGACATAGTCTGCCCTATAAGTCATTATTTAAAAAATAATGATAATAGTTCATGAAAACTTCTAGTTGGCCCAGTACCTCTGCATTGATCTTACATGTCTATACAACCCTCTCCTTTCTCTATCCTTTGCCGTAAGACTCAGGAAATTAATGTAAATATCTGCTTATAGCCAATGTTCTTAGAGTGCCCAAAGCAGAAACACAACTGAAATGGTACAAGAAGAGTCATTACATATATTAGAAGACTAGACCAAATTTCCCGAGGTAGGGGCCAGCAAGTGGCAAAGTGGTTAAGGTGCTGGACACGCATGTGGGTGACTGTGGTTTTTGTCCCAGACCTGGCAGCTCGATTTCTCTCTCTCTCTCTCTCAAGCACCCATGTCCTATAGCAAGTTTAAAAAATAATAATAATAAATAAAATTAAAATGAATACTTCTTTAAAGAAAAGATTTTCTGATTGAAATTTGAGGATTTCACCAATTCTACTTCCTGGACTTGGAACCTTAAAAGAAAGAGAAAAAAACTTGGTATCGGAGTTTGATTTGGCTGTTTCTTCCTCCCTTTTCTCTTTAGTCCCAGTTCTAGTTTCTCAAATCAGTACCAGTGCTATTGACAGAAGATTCCAGGGAG